AAAATGGCAACTAATTACTGATTTATCGAGCCTGATTGCGTGTTTTAATTATCAATACTACGATAGGACTTTGACTAAAAGGTTATTAATTTTGAATATTAGGTTTTTAAGGTTTAATTAGAGAATTACCATTAAGAAGCCATTAAGCCACTGATTTTTAATTGTGGGAGAGCCATGCCTGTTTATGAATAAGCCGGCTTTTTCGGAGTGATACCACGGTCTCACACAAAATCGGCGTGAAGCAACACTTACGTTGCGTTTCGTCATGTGAGTGAGGTTACCAGAGGCCCAATCCTTCCCCCATCCTTAATACCCAAACTGCCTATTCTTACATCCCTAATAAACCACAAGAAGCCGACAACCCACCTGTAGTAACTCCTATGGTATTAGGAGTGTCCATGGTAACCCATAAGAAGCCGACAACGTATCTACGTGTACCTAGTGACTCCTTTGGTGCTACACTACGACTAGCCATGGGCAGCGCTGATTGCTTAGCCACCATCAGGTAATACGCGAGCTCCTTTGCCGACCTATAGGTACCTATGACATCAAAAAGGACAATGTGATTTAGATGCATATAGGTATTAGGAAATTAAAATAAAGGTACATGTGGAGAGAATAGCAACATTCGGATATTAGGATTGGCATGTAGTGTAGGTACCTATAGAGTTATAGATTTTTTTAGAATATAATACCTCTTTATGTTGTTGTATCGATCCTTAAAACTAAGACCCTCTTGAACCGAGTTAAGTGGGTCCGTGTTCTAAAGCTTTTAAGAATACTAGAAGTTGCTATGTGGTCGACATTCCTCCCCACCGTACTACTCGATTTGCCTCCTCGTTCATTATGCGAACTGCTAAAGTCTGGAATTCTCTCCCCGCGTCGCTGTTCTCAGAGGTCTGCGATTTAGGGATTTTCAAGGCAAGAGTCAATAGGCATTTTTGAGTTTGCGTGTTCCACCTTAGCCCCATCATTGCTTTCCATCAGGCGTGATAGAGGTCAAACACACTCAAGCAAATAATAAAAAAAAGTTCTGGTCGTCCAGGATAAAATAAACACTTAGACGCCTAAACACTCAGGTGAGTCTCGCTTGGCTCCTACTTCTAAAAAAAAAGTTTTCTCCTATTGAGTAACGTTTTACGGGCCCTATTTCAATCCAAGGCCATATTCCCTTAGCAGTCAGTTGTGTTGTTAATATTCATGTAAACGAAATGAAGAATTTTCAACCCCTTTGTACTTCATTAAGCTGCCGAAAAATGGTAGACTTAACTTGTAAATCAAGTCAGCGGCGATAAAAACATTTTGCGTAAACTTCTTTTTCTTTTTCGCTTAACTTGTCTTTTAATTTGTCGATGTTTAATTCTTCTTCAGTTTGGTCTTTGTTAAGGATTCCAGAATGAAAGTGTCAATAATGTTAGGTAGGTACTTTTCTTCCGTTCCTAATAGGGACTTTGGTAACTGGTAAAAACTCAGTAGGTAAGGAAAAAGTATGTCTACTAGCAGACCTACGTAGATAGTTATAATTAATTTAATTTGTCATGTAGTAACATGACCTATATGCAAGTTAAATAGAAAATAATATTAATAACCATTTTCAGTGCCAAGCAGAACAAAAGTAGTGTAAAGATTACCTATAACATAGCTGTCATTCGTTCTCATCATCAGACCCCTAATGTCACGATCAATCTTGGTGCAAAGTGCTCACCAACACGAATCATTCAAGCCCAAACACAAGGTAACAACTCCAAATAATCAAGGAGATCCCTCGACTGTCTTCCGGATCCATCATCAGGTCGAGTTTGACCATCGGCAAGTTGTAGCGTTGTAAAAACCCTACTAGAACAACATGCAAAAGCACTACTCGCCTCTACAATTGTCGAAAGTTTCCCTCGGTTTCCCTAGGATTCCATCATCAGATCCTGACCTCATGAAAATGGGACCTTCTCGGGAGTATAACTTTTTAAACAAAACAAGAATTTTGGAAATCGGTTCATAAATGGCGGAGCAATCGGTGAACATACAAAAAAACAAATCTCCTCATTTTTTTGAAGTCGGTAAAAAAGGGACGGGAATAAGAAAATCATAGTTAGGTTGTTCTTGTAGGACCTACCTACTCACAAGCTTTGTGCTCGAACTCATTATTTCTGATTTTGCATTGTAAAATATTTTGTATTTATGTAGGACGAAAGTCACTTCGAATCAGTTCGGTCCATGGAGCAAATAATACGACTCAGTGATTTGCTATCGCTGAAGTAGTTTAAAAAATTAATAGAAGCGGACAAATTAATTAAAATATTTTCTCGTTTTTTGAGAAAAATCTAACGAATAAGAAGTCTATTATTTTATTTTCTAGATCATAGAAACTTTAGACTCAGAAATAAATGTAGGTAATAAAATAAAATACTCGAACAACGTTTTCTTATATGTTTTATGTTTTAATAGACAACATCTTTCTGTTACTTTATTTTTTTATTTCTTTACACTTCAAGGACCACATTGTAAGTATATGTTTTTATTTTGAGCCAGAATTCGCCACGCCCTGGATGAGGCGAGAGGGAGAGTTACATTGATACTGGCTAATTAATAACCACCTTATATCTTTTCCTGTTCCGGGTTGGCAACGCAGGATATGATTGCGCTGATACCTTGGAGGCCGAAGCAAAGGCACATTAGGTTAACTTTATAACTAATGCCATATATCATTCTCTCTTACTTAATCCTAAGGTTATGTGGGAAATCAGTGAAACCATGCTTGTTAAAAATACAGTAAGTAAGTTTTTTTAAAAAAAAACATCGCGTGCCACACGTACAATTTCGCAAACAAGAGCCATTAGACCACCACAGACGGGGCCCTAAAGGGCTGATGTTCAGCCGGGGTTGCGGGGTAAGCGCAATGAGGTACCGTGACCTCGGCACAGAGCAGGAGAAGGAACAGGGGGGTTTTTAGTCAGTAAGAGTCTGACACTCCCCCCTGCCCGGCTCTGGGCGGGAGAAGTCATTGCATAATTTTCCCCTCACAAAAAAAAGCATCCCAGTTTTACAATTTGTGGATTACACAAAGAGTTGAACCAGTTGCCCAGCCACCGCACCAACCGTGCAGTCATAGACATATACGACAAATAAAACTATATAATATATTGTTAATATACCTACACATACGAGTAGGTGTCAGGTAAATGTTAAATATAAATTAATTGTGGGTATAATAAGGATATAATTAGACATATTATATCAAGTTTTGTCAAGTTATGATTAAGAATATTGACTTATTATAATTTCGTGCCTATTCTAAACAGTGGGAGGCTTAGTTCTGAAAACAATATTGTTAGTGGGTGGTTAATAACATTGTTACATAATTTGTTAGTTTATTTATAGTTACGAACCGCCCGAAGGAACCGAAATGTGGAGAATTTCGTCCCAAGCTAGGATCATAGACATTCAATTAATTTCGTCTTCAACTTAATCCAGAAAGTAATGGAATCAAATACTGTTATAGTGGAAATTAACAATTGGCATTTGAAGGCCCTAAAATGTTATATCAAACGGGCCTACCTATAAGTCCCGAATGCTAAGGAATTGCCTCTACTCACAAGGAGGTTTCATCATTAATCACCACGATTGCTCAAGCTGGATTAGCAATTTCAAACTTATAATTACGAGTTATAAGCCCAGCTTTCCTGACGATGTTTTCGTGTCGTGTTTCGTGTGTGTGTATAGTTTTTGTTAGTGGTGTCTAAATAATCATAGAAAGTAGTTGAAAGTACACATAACTCTGAAAACGTCTCATAATGATACTTGCTAGGTTTCGAATACACACCCTCATGCATTAGAAGCGGGCTCTTTCCTCCACGACCTTGACGAAATGATATATGCTATGTTATACATATGTCTACTATTATATCACATTCAAAAACTTTAAGATTTTAGACATATAAAACATTTAAGAATATTAGGTACTTTTGTTGAATATTGTCATGCTTTTGAATATCGCGTGTTTGTACGTTACGTTCAGTTTGCCCACTCTCTACTAGATGTCGCTATTTTCCACTTAGCGTGATCTAAAAATAACACAAGAAAACATTACAGCGTGTGTTTGACGGCTGGAAAATAAGAAAATATGGATGTTTTAAGATATTTCTCTTGGAATCGAGTATAAAATATCTGTGTTTGATTTGACAATGGAAACGTCTAGGCCAGTTTTCCTTTCAATATTTTTAGGTCATGTTTGAACGTAACAGAAAGTAGTAAATTTGTAGGCACCTTTGTGTGTTTAGTCCGGCGAACTCTTTTGGAGGCGCTCTTAGGGAAGCCAAAAATTTTGCTAAGTAGTGCTGTAATAAAGAAGCTGAGAGGCATATCTTTATGGTTTACATCTAATGATGGGCGAAAATAAAGTCACGAATCATTTTTGACTGGTTTCAATCACTTTTGGTTATCCAGAATTGATATGCCGCGGCCTGTTTCGCAGCAGAAGAAACGGGATAACTAGTCAGTTAGGAATCTCTTCAAAAAAGTAGTAAGGTAATCAAAGAAATTTCAAAATGAGTAACTTAAGACCGTAAGTGATGAGGAAGGGAGTCGTTAAGGAGTGGCTACAGAGACGCCACGCTGACCTCACCATCCATCTGACGCACGTGACAGGGTCACTGAAATTTCAATTTTTTCTCTTTTGGATCTAGCGGGAGGAAAAGTGCGGTTGTTGACACGTTCTACTACATGGTGGCGATGTGCCATGATTGAGCCCTATCGTGTTCTAAGGGTAGCGATCGGAACGGCGACTTCTCGCGCCCTGTCTATGGTGTCGAGCGGGAGGAACTGGGACGCAGACTGTTCGTTTTGCGAAGCAGTGATGATTTTTTTTTATATGAGAGGACGGCAAACGAAATGTCAGCATAAACAATCACCAGCATAAGCAATTAGCGCCACCCATGGACACCTGCAACAACAGACGAGTTACAACTTCGTTGCCGACCTTAGGGGGATTAGGGTTTTGAAGATTAAGGAATGGGGGAGGAGAATGATGAAGCCTCTACTAATCTTACTCACACGGTGAAACACAACGCTATGGTTGTTTCATGCCGGTTTTCTGTGACATATTCGTGTCGAAGCGTGACTCTACCACACATATACGAAAGTTTACATATAGTTACTGGAACTGGGAAGCCGTCTCCTCTTTCTGCGAAGCAGAGATGTTTGAAAAGGAGGAAGCAGGGTTGCGTGACGTAACTATCCTCCTCACGCCCTCGCCCCCGTAGTGAGCGACATTCCGGGTGTCGGGGATTGAGAGATGATCTCCGGTCACCGTAAGAGCGGGTCTGTGGACAGCGACTAAGGGTAGCTCGCCGCCCGAACAAAACCAGAACCGAGAGTACGGCGCGCAGCGTTTTGCGCGCGCCTAAAAGAGCCAATACACCACCAGAGACGGGGCACTATAGGGCTGTTATGAGAGCCGGGGTTGCGGGGCAAGCGTAATAAGTCACCGTGGCCTCGGCCTAAAGCAGGAGAAGGAACGGGGGTTTTTAGTCAGTAAGAGTCTGACACTCCCTGAGAACTCAATAATTTGATGATTTCTCCAAAAAAAAACATATACTACTTATACATACATGTACTTATATATATTACTTGTTATGTAGATGAATAAAACTTGCTACACGTTTCTGCAAGTTCTTGCAATGTTTAATAAATGCGTGGGCTCAATATATCAACACTGCTCCTAATTATTCGTGAAACTTGCAGGTTCAATGTGCTGTCTTATGAATATTTATGTAAAATTCTTAATATACAGTCTCGGTTTAATAAATAGGGAGTATTTGGGACCGGTATCGCTTGCGGTGGCTTTCCCTTGTTGAGCGTATTTCATTCGTTCGTGAATGTGCTGTGATGAGTTATGGAAGTGGTTGATAAGGGAATGTGGTCTTTATTGTATGTTATCATGTTGTATTATTATTCGGGTTATAAGAAACTACGTGTTATAAAACGCCATAAGGCTTTTGTTCGGTTCATTAACGAGTTATATTTTTCTTTATTAGAAAGTTCTATACCATGCTTGCTTCTTGTAAGTTTAAGGCGTTGAAAAACATACAAATCACTGATTCTTGTATATCTACTTAAAACACTTTTTTTGTGGAGGGAAAAATCATCAAATAATTTCTTTCACCCAGATTATGGCAAGAGGGAGTGTCAGAGACTTGCTGACTAAAAACGTCCCGTTCTTTCTCCTGCTCCAAGCTGAGGCCGCGGTACCATATTTCGCTCGATCCGAGACCCCTGAAACTTATAGAATAGTAATTTCTTAATAATTCCCAGACCTAATTCCGCACAATTCCATTCTATTTCTGAAAGTATCCATAGCCTCTACCCGTTTTTGTCACATCCTCTTTGCTTTCGAGACTTTTTCGAGGTTACCCACACACGAGTACCATAGGGCAACGTCAATCATAATGTCAAGACGTCATAGTATGGTGTGACAGTGACGTCATACCCACAGATTCCATGGAAATGCTTTGTTTACTCTGGGGAACATTACTCCTTCAATATTCCGTGAAAGGTAAATATTCGTAAAAGGTTACTCACGCCATACTAGCGTCAATAGAGCCTTCTTATTGGCTTTGTATTTAATAGGTCATGTAGCTACCAAAACTAAATGGTTCTAGTTTTATTTTGCCTTAAAATTTGTGAATTAGATACGGTTCGTACATATCAGCTAAAATTCGTGAAAAAGAGTTCAGTTGTTTATGGTTTGACCTCAGGGTTTGACATAACTAACTGACTTCAAGTAAAAAAAATACAAATATAATCTCTAAAGCGGTATCCGTCTATCCACGGTCACAAATAATTATTAATTTTATGACAAATAAGTTTCATTTCAACAAATACTAAATAAATGTATGTATATCAAAAATAACAATTTAAATTAACACGTAAGTCAAGCAAAGAACTTAAGAAGGTTTACTGAAACTTATTAATTAATACAAACATTAAATTATGGCGTCTAATGACGGCGCGTCTATTAATTGACGTCAATTTACGCGGGAACAGTTTACTTTCCTATTGGTTAATTAATATATACATTTTCAGCTATTTCCTTGTTCTCTGTATTTTTAATGGGACGCAAATAAATCACTGCGGTTGATTTGACTATTATTTATTAATTTATTTTAACACTTTATATGTAAAGAAATACAAAGGCGGACTTCCACCCGGTTTCCGAAAGGGCGATCAATGTTAAAACAAATTTAATCTCTTGTCAAGTCATCTGATTGGTTGACTGAATTATCAACAACCAATCAGATGACATGACAAGAGATTTAAGAGGAGATTTGTTAAATTTAGCGTTGACAAGCCTTTCAGAAATCGGGTGTTAATGCCCAAAGGCATTCTCTACCAGTCAACCTCAAGGGTGATGCAGAGAAGTGTTAATAATATTGTATAAGTATTATAGTATTATAAACCTATTAGTATTATATAAATGTGTATTTATATAATACTGCGGTTGATCTTTTTGCTCGTCCCATTCCATATAGCAATTTTTATTTACCTACCTTAGTTTAAATTCATGTTACAAATAGGTACATACTCACGAGTTGCACTTACAAACTAGACAGTTAGACGGCAGACAATTGAATAAAAGTTTCATGTTTCCATGTTTATTTGGATATCTCTCAGCTACCTTGAGATGGAAAATTTTCTTAGAAATTTCAAGACGTTCAATTCAAACTTCAAGACTGTTCTCTGTTCCCGTACATCCCTTTACAGAACTTAAACAGGTAAGTAATGTTAGAAGTTCTTTTTTTTATTCAATAAGGTACGTCAACAATATTCATAAAATACATTTTCTTAATTTTATGATTGAGACAGAGTTTTTGTATGTATATCTTTAACAGATGTACACATCACTCGCCGTATGTAAACATAAACATAAGTTTACTAATGTGCTAATGTAAAAATGCGATATGTTTTTGTTTTGATCAGATACGAGACTTTTGAGTTTGTTATAAGGTACTATTTAATATTATGAATTTGTTTGAATTATATGTCGTGTCTATGTACTTAGTTATCGTGGGCGCGGATTTTCAAGTCTATAAAATACCTATAAAACTGACTAAAAAAAAATGTTGTTATTTGTGATATCGCATCCGTTGAAGAGGTTCAGCATTGCACGACAATTCGGAATCTTGTCTTGAAATCCGAGCGAACAACAACTTGCATAGAAAGCTGTCAGTCGATATGTTTTCAGTAGTCAGACAGGGATTGCCGGCCTCATCTAATTTAACTAAAATATTGACGAAAAAAAGAGTCTGAAAATTAATTACCTATACATTTATTTTGGAGATTTTCTCCCAACTAACCTAACTTCTCCTTGCTTGGGAGCCTTGGGAGGCTTACCTATGCGTCGCGCCTACTAACGACGTGTTGACTAGGGAGCACTCACGGCCAAATTAAATTCCTTCACCGTGTTACTCCATTAGTCCGGATAATATTCTCCTGGTTAACTTAGAAGGTATTTTTAGCAACAGATGAGGCGATAAAAGACTTCTGTTTCGCGTTCCTATGAATTATTTTAATCCTAATTATTTCAAATGTCTTCTTGCGTCTGCGATTGTAGCCTTACTAAGGCGTTGTGTATTTAATTAAATAATGATTTTTAGTATAAAGGCTATATTGAAATGTTAACCTGGATTTATATTGACCGAAGTAATAATGCGTTTCCGATGGTAAAAACATCTTCAACTGTACATAACGTGACGGTTTGCTGATGCAGCAAATAACTTTATTAACGATTTTAGCAACGACAGAGTAAGGAATCGCCAACTATAACTTTACGTATTATACTTTACTAGCTACTCTCATGCGGTCTCACCCGCTGCTCGGCTCCATTTAATCATAGCGTTATGTTTTATAGCCTTTAGCACACAGGAACATTGTAGCTATCTGTCACTGAAAGAATTTTGACAATCCGACCAGCGGTGCCAAATATTACCCCTTACATACAAACTTACAAATTTTACCTCTTTATAATATTAGTATAGATATATTTACGTTAAGTATACTTACTACAGTAATTTCTTTTCTTTGCACTCAACCATTTTACAATCAGCGCAACTAAGCAATTGTACCTAACCGTACAAATATGGTTACTTACTTTGCAAACGTTAAAAACTTGAGCGCCATTTTCGCGCGATGTGCGTCATTGAACTAAGTTTTAATTACTTATTTCGCATCTGTGGTTAAAACCGCCTTGTCAGAAATAGACCTGTGTGTGGGTGGCACATGGGAATTCAAATGAACTTTACTCCTTGAAATGCCCCCTGGCATTAATGTTAAGAACACCGCATTATAGTTGCGTGGGCACGCGTGTTATTGTCGTGTCGAAATGAAAATGGCGGATTGTGTTTGTATTTTAAAATTGTTGTATGTTTCGGTAAACAATAAACTCATTTTTGAGTAGAGTATTTAAGTTTTTTATAAAATAAAAGAATAACAACATAATATTTTTTTTTTATTACAAATCTTGTTCTTTTTTTTCAGCAGGCACCAGCTGTACCTTTATTCCTTATGTAACGTCTTATCCTTAGTATACATTAGATGCTTTAGAGTGCCTACGATTGGATCTACTACTGGTCAGCAGGCGAGCTAGCCTTGCATGCTGACCGCAGATCCGCGCTTTCGGTGGTCGGAGATCGTCACGGAGTTTTCTGCGGCTGGGGAGTGAGGAGCTTTGCAGAAAGACGAGCTGGCTTCTCCGATTCCTCTCACTCCACACCTCCTTTGTTTGCCTCCTATTCCATGAAAAAGAACTTATGATGCTATACCTACAGATGTACTGATAAATATTACCTTAACAGTGTTACATATCACATCACCAGCGTTTAAGTGGCCACGGCTGAGCAAAGACTTGTCACACTTCGAAGGAATGAGAAAGTGTTGATCACCTCGCTAGATCTAGGCTGATATGCGATTTCACTCATAATTAGAAATTCAATGTCAAATTTATCTAACGATGTTTTTAATGTATTTTTCGTACGTCACTGGTGTCTAAATAAACTTAAAAGTTATATAAGTGTATAATTCAGAAAACCTCATAGATGCAAATAGGTGCCTCCGAAACCTCCGGGCCATCAGAGAATCGCGGACAAACCAAAATGAGTATCCCTAATTGTCCGGGAACACCAAGACATTTTGTTAAACTTTAAGTAATACGGGAATCGTATTCTTGAGGCCTTATCGCAAAGACATGGCGGCATAAACAATTTAATTTTTACCACAACCTTTCACGCAAGAATAGCCCCGTAAAAGATAGATTTCCATAATTGAAAGTGTAGGTGGACTGTCCAATCGTCCAATGTATATTCAGGATCTAGGACACTATAAATAGGAAGTCTAACTATCAACAAAAACTCAATATCCAATTGAAAACTTAATGAGATTTAAACCTACACATAAAAAATGGGTGATAATTTTACGCTTTGATACACAGCGCAGATGTATTTAAAAGAAATTATGATACCTAGTTGCTATGTAGATTTTCTGTATTCGTTTTAAAATTGTACATATCAACAACCATATCTGCTCTGTATTGTACGACAAATATTATCATTGTGAAGTTTTTCGTCCATAGATCTATATATTAGCTTCGTTTTATCAATCATCAAATGGCGTTCCTCACCCTGGGTGGGCTAAGAGGAAGTTTCAGACTCTTACTGACTAAAACCCCCCTGTTCCTTCTCTTGCTTTGGATCCAAGTAAGCCAAAGGTGATATTTAATAACAGCATAAGTTGTGTTGTTAACCTGTAATTGCCGGCGTCCTAAGAACTCCTCAAACGAATTTCCAATCCAATCAGCGCGTTGAATTACAAGACCAACGCTACAACCATCATAACGTTACCAAAGAAATTGAAGCCATGTCTTGATTCGAAAGTCGAGAGCCACTTCATTCCGAATCCAATCCCTTTCCATTCAATTAATTGGCAGGTACGTACAGCAATCACAAAAGGGTTTCACTCTTTAGGGAATCGCCTAATACCTTTATCTGAGCGTAAGTAGAAAGAGTTTTAGGCCAGGTATTGTCCCCAGGGATTTGTTGATTTAATGGCTTTCATTAGGATACTTTAAGACATTGGACCCTAGGGATCTACTTACCCTAATTTGTGTGGAGGGTCACCTAGCTTTTCAAGGAAATTCGCGTGGGCTATTTTGCATAGCGTGATAGGTGACTGAGTAAATATGACAGCGAAGTTTATTGGATTAGGACAGCCACGCATATCAATTTAGTAGTTTGATTTTGATTGAAATTGAAATGGAGTACGTAGTCTCTCTAAACTTATATGTTACTAGCTGCCGCCTGCGGCTTCGCCCGCTTGCTATGTCGCTAAAAAGTAGTCTATGTAAAACATCCAAACATCGTAACTTTCGCATTTATATATTAGTAAGATGAAACGATACTAGTACCTGTTTAAAGTAAATCTTATCATAAAATTGTATTATTAATATTATCATATTACGCTTTAAGTACTTTGTTAGACTTTTCCGTACTTACCGTTTAAATTGTAAAACAATTGTCGTTCAGCTCGATGGAGGAAGGCAAAAAATAGGAGTTTTAAATAACATGGAATATAAAATTACAATAGTATTTATTGCCCGGTTCCTTGCATTCGAAACCTCGTTGGAGATCTTTTGCTATAAAGTTACAAAGCAGATAAGATTTTCATCCGTTTATTTATCGTGAGATTCGATCTGAAGATAGCATAATTCAAAGTTGAAATTTCTACAGTATCTTTTATAGGTAGCAAAATTAATTAATTTTATAAGGACGTCCTTCAAACCTTCAAGAAACGAGCTTATTCCTTCTTAAAAGGCCGGCAACGCACCTGTGACTCCTCTGGTGTTGCGGATGTCCATGGGCGGCGCCGATCGCTTACCATCAGGTGACCCGTATGCTCGTTTGCCTCCTATTCCATAAAAAAAGGGTTGTTGTAGTATCTTTTAATTGTTATTGTTTGAATCTTAACTATAAATACAATATAAAAGCTATAAATAAATAAGAACGTTGTTTTATTATGCTAGTAGGTATTATTTTAGTTATTATTTGTTTCACCGCTATAATATGCTTAGCATATTACTAATTTTTTTTTCATATAGGTTGCACCCTTCTTAAGTTATATTTGCCAAAAAAACCAGGGGTTCTCAAAGTACGTTGTCGTCTTTTTGTGGTTCGCTTTTTATGGAGAAACACGACAGACACGTTGTTTCATGACGGTTTTTTCTGATTCAAGGAACCGATTATACCGAAAACTTATCGATTCTTGAAAGGATCTGGGTATCTCACTCAAGAACTATTTCTTGGTTTAGTTTAGCAAATAATTTTCATTCGTTTCAACAAAGCATTCTGCAGGTTAACATGAAAACAAACAACTTCGACATCTTTGAAAGAAGATCTCGTTTGATCGAATTACAGGCTGAGATTTACCGGCTAATTGATAGGCGGCAAGCTACCCAGCCCTTTACATTAGACGCTAGGGTACACGCTTATCAAATATCACGACGAAGTTTCACAAGATAATAAACTTATTATTTTTAAAGCAGGTTGTGAAAACTCGATGTTTAAATCCTACTACCTGTACCTATTATTTATATCATGTGGCGCCAGTGACTGAAAAGTTGAAAGGGAACCGTTTGTCTTGTTATGGCCATGTGAAAAGGAGGGATAAAACGCATGTTACAAAAAAAGCCATGAGTAGGTATAAATGTGGATGGATGGAGGGGGAGAGGGAGATCAAAGAAAATATGGATGGATTGTGTGAGAAATGATATGGAAGACAGAGGAGTCAGTGATAGCGTGACGGGTGATAAGACAGAATGGAAGAAAAAAAAACATATCGCGCCGACCCCAAATAAAACGGGACAAGGGCAGGAAGATGATGACCTACTTGTATTATGTGAAAGTTTGTGAGAATGCATTCACGCGAAAATGGCTAAGTTGATTTGGTTAAAATTTGGTGTTTAGATAGATGATGACCCTGGATTAACACAATCTACCTCTATCAACATACATCGAGGGTTAAACTGCGAGTGGAAGGTAGTCGAATAAAAATGGCACTATTCCTATTTTACAAGGGTGCCACAGGAGTCAATTAAGAAAGTAGCTCTCTCTGATAAATAAATCTGTTCTTTTAACTGGCAGCTGACCGGCCAGGTTAGGCAATTCTCCGGAATTGCGGATGCAAGCAGAATAATGTACAGTCAGGGGTCAAAAATGCAATTACACTCTACCAATTTTAAAATGACTAAAATTTCTTTGTAGTAATAGTTAAATGGTTCACAGCCAGTTTATTCAATAATTTAGATTCTATGCTATATATTAAAGCAGACCTCAACTCTATTCTGCAAAGATATTTTGGTCATTTTTAAAATTGGTAGAGTGCAATTGTATTTTCGACCCCTGACTGTACCTACCACCAGCATCGGCCAAGCAAGTGTCTGAAATACTGAAGGTATTTTACATCCCACCAGGCCGAAAAAAGTTATTTCATGATCTTCCCCCCACAAAAAAGGGTTATTATTCTGGAATATTTTAAGCCGTCCTGTTACGTCGACCATGATAACTCTTATAGTAAACGGCGAGGCTGACTTTGTAACGTGGACTATACGACAACCGAAGAGGTTATTTAGTCTTCCATTGTCGGAAAAATAAATAAAAATATAAGTAAATAATATTTTTATTGACTATTATTAAGGACAATATGAACTTATGAGTATAAATATTGACTAAGAATAAGAATTTAATACAGTTGCTTTTGACCGTTGTGGCTGGAAATACATTGTAATAATTTAGTTATGATGTCGATGATGATATTCGAATCAATTGATACACGTGGTGTTACATTAATATTAAGATTATACAGAAAATAAAACGGAAAAAATATGGCGCATTCTTCTTCAGTTCAACTTACAGATGTTTGCCAAAGATAGAGAGACACAAATTAATTAGTATTCTCATTGAGGAATGTGTATATTTATAATATAAAATGCTGGAAAATTCCATTGTCATAATTATTAAAAAAAAGATCTCAAGCCACGATAACGTAGTCCAATTCGATGACGTCACTGGATTAACATCCTGAGTATTACTTTAGTTTCAAGGCAGTATTTTTAAACTTAAAACTAATAACTAAATTAATTACATGACTAATTACAAAAACAATGAAGTATAAATTACTTCTAATGAAGAAGGAGATGGTGGGAAAGGCTTTCGAGGTGAAAGAGGAAGAGTTTGGAATGAGAAAGGTGTTCTAGAAGGTTCTAGAGGACGGTGACTTAATTTCTAGATTGTTGTCTGGGGCGGTTCTGCTCCTGGTATTCTCCGTTCGGTCTCTTGTGTTGCTGACCCTGGAATGAAAGAAAGGAGGACGTCAATAAAGCTGTTTGTAAAGAAGTTGTTGCTTAACTCTTTGGGTACTATACATTCTTTGATATGGCCCATATAAAGCTGGCGTAAAATAACCCACAGCTTTGCGTTTCACCTTGTGAGTGAGGTAGGTAATCGGAGGCCTAATCCTTTTCCCAGACCGTATTATTCCCCAATCCCTAAATCTCCAAAACCGCTATCTCCAAAACGCTGGCAATGAACTTTCAACTTATCTGGCGCCGATTGCTTATCACCAGGTAATCCTTTGGTACACTAGATTGCTGCAGTGTCACATAAAAAAATTACAGTAGTATTTGGTCGTATTAAAATTAATATGTTGCCTAACCTTAATAGACATTGAAAATTCCTAATCCTAATTTTAATAAAAAGTAAAAAGATTACAATACATAACGGTAGTGAGATTAACCCAAATGCCTTGAATAATTTCGTATTTATTTTCAGCAATTTTCCTCATACAATAGAAAGTAATATAGCTACTAAGCAATCGAAGAATCTTCGTAAGCAAATATTTCCTTAACTTCATCGAGTTGTAGACTTCAATTTATGTACAAATGGCTCAATATATTGAATCAATCGAGTAAAACGGACGTAAAGCAGGTAACAGAGAAGTATAATTCTGATACGTTTATTACGGAGTAGGTAGAGATTAAAAGTTCACTAGCTTTTGCCCGCGACTCCGTTCGCATGGAATAGTGACCTCCTGCAGATTTTGGTATAAAAACTATGCTATGTACTTTCTCGAGTTCCAAACTATGTCTGTACCAAATTTCATAGAAATCGGTTCAGTAGTTTAGGCGTGAAGAAAAGACAGACAGACAAACACACAGAGTTACTGTCGCATTTATAATATTAGTTTGGATTTGGATTACTTTCAACAATATTATAAGACTCGATTGCAAAAAAACGTATGACGTTAAGAATTTGCCTAAAAAACTCAATTTCAAGTCAAGTAATTAAAGGAAATAATTTAGACAAAATTTAAACTCCATTCATCGTGATACTACATATGAATAGTACCTATTACAAGTGTGAGAGAGCCATATTTAGGCAGGAATAAGCCAACACTGACTGGAGGGCTAACCTAACCTAACCCCCCGTCCCCTCAAACATCTCAAAATCTCCAACAGGCCGAATGCACTTGTAACTTGTGTTGCGTGTGTGTGTTAACCGACCAATTGATCCATTCGACAGTTTGCAGACCAATCCCATAAGGAAAAAATATAATAATTGTATGTTTTAAGTACTAAGTAAGTACCTATAAATAATTGTTTAAAACTTCTGCCTATTTCTTTCATGTAACACAGAACTCTGTATAAACTCATGAAGTTCGTGTGCGAATCAATGAATAGGCATCGATTTGCCCGTCGATTTAATTACAATCACAACGTTACTGTTCTAGATCTCAATGCCTCGAGGTCTCCATAATTTGGTTTCGAATGTTCCTTTACTTTAATTGTTCTGGTTGTTGTACTAACGACGAGTTAGCCTCAGTCATTTGAGAGGTTCTAAGAATTTTGTGCCTTCATATTATTGTACTTAGGTGTAAGTTATTTTAGCACGTTCCATCTGGTTCTGAAATGAATTATTTGGAATAATTTAATCTGTGTCCGCCTTGTTGATCAAGTGGTCGCAAGTGTGAATGCTGAGTATAGTGTCTGAGGTTAAAATCCCGGGTCGGGCGAAGCAATATTAGTGTATTTTAATTTTGCTGAAAATTCGACAGTATTTCTAGGTATATGGCATTGCATCCTCAATATGTATGAGACTCAAAAAATTACTAGTAAAAATGCATGTAGGATTGTTTGTTATCAGGTGCAACCCTGCCTACCACTTCGGAGACAAAAGGAGTGATGATATAAAAGATCCTACTATAGCTATACTGAGTCTAATAAGATGCAGTAATTAAAATATTGTTTTACCTATCATTGATCAAAGGATTCCATATTTAAATTTGTTGTGATGGAAAATGATAGCATTTGATTATTCTGCGAAATGTATCACAAAAGCCTTTGCAGTAAGGTTCACTGTTGCATTTTAACTTTTGTTGCCAACTAGCCCCTAATCTCTTTGGGAACAGGAGCTCTTGTTGGACGGTTATTGATTCAAATTGACGGCCTCACAGTTGCAATCGGTTTAGCCAAATGACAGTAACGGGTCTATCCACGGCGAGTGACATTCGTCACGTGTCTAAATCCAAATGGAATTCGTCATCCGTTTTAATTTGGAGTTGACAGATATCTGGAAACTGATATCCTATTGAGGGGTTTATTAGATTTTGAACATTATTCCTATTAAGTATTTGGTAGTATTTTAATTAACGTCGTGGTTGGCCGGCCAAAACTTTACAAGTACCAATGTGACTTTTTCTAAGTTATATGTAGGTACTTTCTATGATTATTTAAACGCCACTGACGGTGACTGGTGACTGGTGAAGGATAATATCGCGAGAAAATCTGAACTTAGGTATAATTTCTAATTAAAGTTTGAAATCACTAATCCGCCTTGAGCGAACGTGGTGATTAATGCTCAAAGCTTCTCCGTGTGAGAAAAGGTCTTTGCTCAGCAGTGGGCACTTATAGGCAGATGATGATGATTATTATTCTTTAAATTAGACCTTATATTTAATTAGGGCAACGTGCTTGGGCATGAATAGGTCAGCTCGATCGGCAAAAATTCTTGCTTTTGAGAGTGTGAGTGAGATAACCGGAGATCCAATCCTCCCCAACTATTTCTTAACCCCCAGATGACCGACATCGGACTTCCAATTCCTCTGGTCTCTCTGGTAACCCTAATCCCATAATAAATAACTGACTGAATGCAAAACACTTCTTTGTGTTTATTTGAAGTTGAAATTAATATGACATTTTTCCATCCACCTCCTGGATATTTTAGATTCATTTAATTACAACTAACATAATGTCATAAGATCCAATTGGATTCTTATGGAGCATAGTGTAGCATTTGCTTCTAACCACAAGACCAAGAGAAATATCTATCAGACTTCATTTAAATCGATTAAATCTACGTCACCTTACAGAAATACGTAGTTCCTTGTAAAATATTAAATAACAAGCTGTGATGCAAAGCTATGAACTTTGACGTCATAGTCACTAAGGGAGCGAGTGTTGGTGATAACGAGATATTTCCACTACACTCCCACACTTTAACACCTTCAGAATATTAATTGGGAGATTTCATTATGAATGTTGGGATCCGTTATGCTATTTCTGTTGATATATTTAATCTATACTAATATTATAAGCAGGTAAACATTTGTAAGTTTTGCCATAATTGCCAAAATTCTTTCACTGATAGGTAGCTGCAATGTTCCTGAGTGCTATAGGCTATAGTGCTATAAGACATCACGTTGCGATTAATTTTTGGACTCTCTGTTGGTCGGATTTCCAAAATTCCTTTCACTGATAGTTAAAATTTTCCTGAGTGCTATAGCTATAAAACATCACACTACGATTAAAAGCAGCGGGTGAAACCGCGCGAGAGTAGCTAGAATATTATATTTAGAAAAATGAACTTCTTAGGTATCCGTTTAGAGAAACGGATACCTAAGAAGTTCATTTTTAAAAGAAATTATTTCAACTCAGTGCATTCTAAGAGTAGAATGCACTGAGTTGAAATAATTTCTTTAAAGTGTAGGAAAACGAAGATTGGTTTAGTACAGAGAGTAACCATTGCTGGGTTGTCTATGTGATTTAATTTTTGAGCGTGTGGTATGACTTTTTCTTCCATGTTTAAGGTGTACTATATTTTTATATCATTTGGCTCACCACAGGCATTCAATACTTGAGATCTTGTGCTTAGGTAAAATTCAATCGATTAACTTTTTAACCCATTTTATCATTAAAAAAGCAACAGAGAAAATCTTCGAAAATAGTATAACAAAAAGAATACATTTTGCATATTTATTCGCGTACAATAACAATGTAGGAATACGTTTTGAAATAAAAATAAGATACTAACATAAGCTAATGAAAAATAAACTAGCACATTGAATCTGAATGGAAAAATAGAAGCTAGATAAAGAAATGGTAAAAGCTGCGCTCTGTTTCGACGAATTGTTTTTTGCTTATTGCAAAGCGGTTTTTGGAAAATGAAATATTAAGTGTATTCCATATCCTAGTAGCTCTTTTATTCAAATACTAGCGTCCTTCCCTGCTTCACATCGATGTTTAACTACCCTGCTAATATACTAGTTTTCTAAAATATTCCTTCATAAGGACGTTCTTTTGACAATAACAAACACCAAAAAAACGTTGGCTAAATTGGTCCGGACGTTACAAGTGGAGTAGAATATTGAAGAAAAAGAGTAAAAGAAAATTGTGTCCTTCATTAGACAATATAAAACTTGCATTCTTTTTTTAAAATTTGTCCCAGACTAACACCCGGTTTCTGAACGGCTTGTCAACGCTAAAATTAACTAATCTCCTGTTAAATCTCTTGTCAAGTCATCTGATTGGTTGTTGATAATTCAGTCAACCAATCAGATGACTTGACAAGAGATTAAATTGATTTTAACATTGATCGACCTTTCGGAAACCGGGTGTAAGAATTTCTCCTTTGTCGAGGGTGCTAATAATCATTCCTGCAACTTCTGTGATATCCTATCATCATCATCAGGCAGAAGGCCTCCACTGCTGAACAAAGGCCGTCCCCTTAGGGGGGCGCTTAGAAGGCGGCTTGGTGTTCACCGATATATGGATGGAAAGATTGCTGCCCACTTCTCGGTGTCTGTGACGATCCCGGGTCTATCTAGGTAAAATCCTATACCTATACGTAAAAGAGTTGGTATAAGGGCCATAAGGGCGCGTTGGTGATCGGAATTTAAATAAATAGTATCTTTGTTTCTTTTTCATCAGCTTACCTGTCTCAAATCTTGCTGGTTTTCTTCTTCTGGTGGGGGTGCGGTTGTGGTAGGCACGTCACACTCCTCAGTAGGAGGCACGACACATCTCAATGACCGTCTGTCGAAGACCAGCATAGCAGGACACCTCTGCAGACGAGGGTATCCACCTTGGCACTGCCAGTAGCGGTTGCAGGACTTGCCTAGGGGCACGTTGCCGTTGGGGTCCTCATTGCAGAGAGCTGGAAGAAAAATATTGGTTTGATTATAGAAGGTCCATCGTGGGAGTCTACAAGGGCTGGTTGCGGTAAAGACCCTGGAGGAAGCTCCAGACAGAACCTCTTTTGTCTTAATGTTAAGAACGGTGAAGCATTCTTTTTTTTCTAGATTTTATGTCGATATAGCATACTATCATGTTAGTGTACTATCGATGTAGGGTATGTACGATCGATTTGAGGTACTTTCGATATACCTACTATTATCAGTCAAAGAAACGTTGTCGATACAGTGAACATCTATGTAGTGACGGTCTATATATTGATCAGGACCCGAGTTTTTATTCATTAAAATATAGTATGATGGAAACAGCTTAGAATATAAAATGAAGAATATAAGATTTAAAAGCTAGTCGATATGGCTACATGAAGAAAAGTTAAAAAAACATACTAATTACATTTTAAAGTTAAATATGTGTACAGTACGGCCGACGTATCTTGTTTAGTCTGAAGTTAGCCGTTTGTCTGCGCAATGGATCTTTTAGGAACAAAATATTGTGTACTGCGCAGCTAATCGGCTAACTTCAGACTAGCCAAGATACGTTGGCGGTATTGTAGAAAGGAATGATCAAACAAAATGATATCGACAGTACAAATAGATAGCTATCTAACACAATTAGCAGTCAATGATTATGAACAGGATCGACATGAAATAATTAAGTTAAGAGTTCTTCGTCCAAGTTAGTTCGTGCATAAGTAAAGAGATTGGTCTCCCGGACAAACTTTGCTTATCAGATTACTACAGTTCTTTGTTTTAGCAATAGCGACTGATATAAGGACAAACGAATCTCCATTTAAATATTTATTAATTCTTCCAAAAGAAAGAACAATGAAGGGAAGCATAAGTTTCATTTTAATTTCCGGAATTATTCCTTTTACTTTATAAGCTTTGGTTTTGAATAAGGCACAGTTTTCGGTGGTCTTAAGTGACTTGAAGGATTTTTTTTTAATTTTTTGTGAGGGGAAAATTAGCAAATGACAATTCTCTGTCAGACTCTTACTGACTAAAAACCCCCGTTCCTTTTCCTGCTTTACGCCGAAGCACCAATATCTTATTGCGCTTAACCCTGGCTGATGGATTTTTGCAATTTTAAGGAAGTACTTTTTTGTCATAGTTTATTAATCTCTCCGTAAAAGAAAAGAAAGTAAAGCATGCTATTGTTTTTTATCCTTACTAGGAGTACATCCGGTTTCTTAAGCATTTGACTGCCGACAAGAACTGTTGAAGGCTAACCCTCTGCTAGCGTCGGACACCATTGTCCGACATGACTTTCTAAGTATTAAGAAAACTAAAACATATGTAATTTTAAGTAAAAAATTTATTGTAGCAAAATTAGGACAAAACCACTCTAGCTACATACTTAGACATTACCAGTGATCCAAAATCACCAAGTTAACCTCTGATAGGTACTCATTACAATTCATATCGAGGTTGCGATACCAGATCATAAAACAAAAGACGGTGTCATTGCTCCCTTTCAATAGTTCGCAATAACAATACATTCCAAAGTGACCATAGGGAAAAACGGTCATAAAATACAAAAATAAAAGATTAAAAGCTTTTCTATTCGATACTGGGAATCGAGTACAATGTTCGTGTCCAGCTATGGCCATAGAAACGATACTTTGTATTGAATTACTTAAACATTAAGATATCGCCGCACCAATCGGATCGTGATCGGCGAACGTGAAATGTTTTATTTAATAATCTTTTAGTACTTTGGCCAGGTTTTATTGTTCGTTTTCTTTTAACTTTAGTACTTTGTACAATGAGACTGTTTTACAATGTATAGTATGAATACTTTGTCAGTCTAGACCGGCTGCTTGCCTACCTACTTATGTGTAAGCACTAAGAGTATAGCCGTACAGCTATGCTATTTTAAAAGTTTATTTGCGAAATATAATCTGAATCAGCAATTAAATGATGTTTATTTAAAGTTTCATATTCTCAAAGGGAGTCAAATCTACATTGGCGCCACCATGTGAATTACGAAGTGAAAGGAACTAAAACAAGTGAGTATTTTGACGTTTGTGTACAGGCGAGATGAGAAGCTAAGTGGTGTTTTTTTATGTGAAAGGTCGGCAAACGAGTAGACATTATACCTGATGGTAAGCAATCAGCGCCGCCTATGGAACAACAAAGGAGTAACGAGTGCGTTGCCGACCTTTTGAGGGTTAGGGATTTGGGAGATTTAGGGATTTGAGCAGGGGAAGGATTAGGCCTCCGGTAACCTCACTCACGGCGAAACAAAACGATGTGGTTGTTTCACGCCTGTTTTCTGTGAGGTCGTGGTATCACTCCGGTCGAGCCAACCCATTTGTGCCGAAACATGGCTCTCCGACACTTGGTATGTGACTTTCAAGATGATGAGATTTACCATTTACAGAATAGCACTGTTGCTCTGTATTGCCTAAAAGCCTTATCAGCGCAGCATATTCCTAAAATACTAATTTACGTAAAACTGGCGTGAAACAACGACCGTCTTGGGTTTTACCGCTTGAGTGAGGTTACTGGTGGCTCAATCCTTCTCCTTACTCAATCCCGAAATCTCCCGAATTCTATTCAACAAAAGACTGGCAACGTACTCATGACTCCTCTGGAGTAGCATGAGTCTGGGTGGTCATGGGAGGCGCCGATTGCTTACCCTCAGGTAATCCTTCTGCTAGTCCAACGCACTTTATAAAAAATAAATCCTTAAAACTTCTGACACTTTGACACCAGCTTCCCAAGCCCAAATATTTTTGTATCATAATATTTTTCAATACACAAACTTCCTTAGAATATTTCTTTCAAAAGCTTTCCGATCTCTTAAGCTTCTTACTGACCTTAATTTTTCAAGCTTAATGAAAGCGTACCTTTTATTCGGTACCTACACAATTGATACTGTTTTTTATACGATGACTTTATTATAATATTCGTGTATCGTATATTTTTTTGTATAGGTCTATATGAATTTTTGTTTTATTAAGTTTTTCGTAAATTTTAGCTGTGTTTGTTTCAAAATCCGTGTAATATCAGACAATGATAATTATTATATTACATAAATCGAGAATTTAAAAAAAATGGCTCTATTTTATTCAGGAAAAAAACACCAGGTGTGCTTAGCAGTTTCTATATATCTATAGTTATCTAAAAGGTCACTCTCCATAGTATTCAATAGGGTGACGCCTGTTACATGGAGCTTGGTGGTGGTTAAAGGGTTTTTTGAGTCGACATTGAAAAGGTCGGAAGGTAGAGGAAGTGAAGACTTCTTTTTTTTTGAGTTGAGAATGTTCTTAAAAGACGTCAATGAGAGGCGAATGTCTTGAAAAATTCAAAAATATATCACTTTTAATATTTCAAAAACAGAATAAGGGTATGAAATTCTTGGCGGAAGGTTATAACCTGGGTGTCTTTAAGGCCCGAGTGATGATAGTAGGTCGCATCATCGCGTACCACCAGGGAATATAGTAGTAAAACGCCAGTCTCTTACTAGTTGCCATCCCCATTAAAATACATAATGGTATGCTAAATTATACTTTAAAAGAAATACTCTTTCGCACGCCTTCATTTCTCATTCAGTTGTCGTGAAGTGTACCGGTGTATGATCGTTTTAATTATCAGTTACGCTGAGAACACAGATCCGTTTATAGGCCACGTCTGTCCCACGCCTAAGTTCACGACTCTACCAATGTCAGCTGGCTGTTATTGTGTCATATTCTCACAGAACAGGTGAGAAATAAGTTCTAGTTTCGTTTACATAATAAAGTTAAATGTTTCTTTCTTTAATAGATGGGGTCTGTATGTTTTTTGTAGGTTAAGGTAACTTTTTAAAAATGTATGCTATTTCCTAATGAAGTTCTTATTAATATCGATAAAGTTAATTAGTGCGGGTGACAATAATCAGAAGCAAATTTCATAGACAACATCTTATAATGTATAAGTCGGTATGTAACGATTATAAGCCTAACAATTCGTGAATATATGTGCTTAATTATCAATGATTTGTCATCGTATTGTATTTAAATTCTATTGACAATAATCTATAACTGTTTACAATAACGGTTTCCCATTGCCACTTACATAGTTTATTAAGTATAAATTCCTGGAAATAGCAAACATAGACAATACATACAATACATGTGAAACAATGTTATAGGAACATGTATTTTGTCAGTTATCCTGTTTTGAATTTGAATTTAAGAAAATGTTCTCTTTTCAAATTCGTACAATATTTTGTCTATGAATGATGACACTCATATGTCAATCATTAAAATATTTATCATCATTAATCATCTCTATAAACCTTTGTCGACATGGGAATCAGACTTTCGCAATGTAATAATCATTAAAACTGTGCCTACCGTAGTTCATTTCATCACCAGTCACCACAAAGCCTTTGTTGTCACTTTGATTCGAACCTCTGACCGCAAATTACTCGCTGTCATTTCCATAGACCATCAGTCAATGTGTACTTTCGATTTCAACCGTGTCGATGACCCGATAACTGTCATTAATGTCAAACCAACAATTACTGATGTTACATAAGGAAGCCGACGCACCTATTATGCTATTATACGCTTTATTAAACGAAGCAATTAGTGTGAAAGTTGCGTGATTGATCGGTGAAACGATCGTTGTTCATTCACTAGTGTTTGTGCAAGGTATGTACGGTTCATTTGAAAAGTTTTTAATTAGTGTTTTTCGGTTTTACGCGAAATGCGGTTGTTGGATTTCTTAACAATGGATTTTGTTTTTTATTCCATTTATGACTAATTACTGACCGCACGGAATAACTTTTTGTGTGATCCACAAATTGTTGTTCGGTAATCGGTCATCATGTAGTGACATTTGTAAACTCACACTGCCGAAAATCCTAATATGGGGCAACGTTTAAAAAAAAGTCATTAAAGTATCCGTTCAATGACCGGTGTCTCGGCCTGGTCGCCGTTTCTGGAATAGGCCCAGTATTAAAGAGATATTTTGTTATCTCCCTGGGTGGGGAGGGAGAGAGTGTCACAGTGTGACTCCTACTGATTACAAAGCAAAAGGTCGAGTAGTGTCTGTCACTACTCCAAAGAAATCTGTAATAGACACATTATAGAAAGTAGGTATGTATGTATACATATGTTATTCTGACTTAATCAACAATTGTAACGAATCTTTTCACATTAAAAAAAAATAAGTTTGTACAGGATGTTCTTTCAATATTGAAAAAGGCAAAAAAATCTTTTAATGACTTTAACTTCTTTGTCCAAAAGTAAACAATACTGTTTGAATGCCCATTGGGACCTTCCATGTCTAAATATACTTGGGTCCAAAAATATTCGCCACAATTTCAGTAAGTTTTCCTCAAAAGTAATGAAACGTCACTTAAAGGACCTTCTTCAAAGGGAAATGTAATAAAACAGAAACACTCTGTAGGTACCTTGTCAAGATGGAAAATACTATTTATATTTACATTATATTATTTAAATTCGAATTTTGAATTTCAAACGAAAAAGAATACTGAGAACAGTTATAATGGAATGTTTAATTCGTGTTAATAAAGTAAAACTGATCAAATTTTAACTTTTTTCTTTGTGAGTAAATTAAAAATGAAGCAATTCTTAGTTTTTTTTTGTGGTTTTAAATACCAATTTTAAGCGTGGGCGTGCCAAGTTTCGCAACGAATGTGACGGCTTGACTGGAATGATACCACGGCTTTACAGAAAACCCGCGTGAAACAACCACAGCGTTATGTTTTACCGTGTGAGTGATGTTACTCGAAACCCAATCCTTTCCCTCCCCCAATCCTTAAATCTCTAAATCCCTAATCCTCAAAAGGTCGGCAACGCTCTCGTCGTTTCTTTGATGTTGTCTCTAATCGGCGGCGCTGATTGCTTACCATCAGGTAATCCGTAATTGCCGTCCATAAAATAATGAAATAACAACAGCGTTGTGTTCCGTTGATAAATTAATAAAAAGTATAGGATAACATAGTTACTGTCTCTGTTTTGAATTATTTTTTATTTTAGAACCTGCTTATCGAGTTTTTTTTCGAAACACTTATTAACGATATCTAGAAAGCGATTAGTCAATGGAACAAACAGACTGTCTCTCTGGTTGAGTTGTCGCCAGTTATCTAATTAATGAAGTTCACATCTTTAAACTATAAATAATTGCTTTTTTTGTCATTAATTTATCCTCAGTAAAAACAATTTCAGGGATATTGGGAAAGGTATGACGAAGATATATATCCCACACTATATGTCAGTTAAAAAGATTGACGAGTAGGTCGACGATGTTTTTTTAAAAAACATCTAAAACATAGTAGTTCGAAAAAGGAACTAAAGAGGAAGCCATTTTTTGTCATAGCAAGGCGAGAGAGAGACAGGGAGAGTGTCCAACTCTTACGACTAAAACCCCCACCGTTCCTTCTCCTGCTCTGGCCCGAGGTCGCGGTGCCTCATTGCGCTTACCTAGCAACCAGAAGAGGAAGCCTGTGTTAATTTTTCAGTAGTTGAGCTTGAGTAAGTGTCTCTCAACCCGGGTTGCGAGTGCAATAGCAACAAGGTAACGTGGCTCCGGTACCTAATGATTTTTCTCCTTATAAAAAAGTTGCCATAACCATCGGACAATTGGGCAATTTCCTAGGTCAAAAATAAATTAATTCGACGTTTCAATACAATAAAATATTGAAAAATAACTGTACTTTTATTCATCAATCGATCGATTACACTAACTTTTTTTTTTTAACTAATTATTATAAAATAAGTAAGCTATTTGACGCAAAAATGTTATGACGTCATAACTCAGTATTTCATTCAAATTTCATTGAAAAGTATCGTTTTTGACGTTTGGATAAAAGTATTGAATTTGACTAGTTGGAAACTACTGTGTTCTAGTCAGAATTTAGAGTAACTTTAGAACGCCTCCGTCTATCCCTTCGCTGTACATAAGCGTGATATTACATAAACATTACAACATTACATTGCGTATTATGTGAATAGCGCACATTATTTATATGGGCTTTTCATGTCAGCACTAAGTCGGGGTATTAAATATTATTGTATGTGCCACGATAACAATATGGTCCGTGATAAATTGTCGGTTTTCTCTATGTACTTGTGCACCTGTTATGTATTTAGGGAAATTCTTCTAAATAACCTGGTCAATGGTGTCTTTCTTAGTCGTGGCTACATCGTAAATGTAATCACTTCATGAGTAGATGAAATACATATATGTATCTCCTAATGTAAGCAATGTAGACCAGATCATTCCACGTTTAATCAAGTCAATTTTGTATTGTATTGTAAGTGTAATATTGCCCCATAATAGGGTTTTATCGAGTGTCGTAAGCTTGTAAACGCACCCGTATACAAGCATAGATTTTCACATACACATCACACCCAGAACCGAAACTATACGAGATCTCACAAAGAGTAGGTGTTGTTTCGTGCAGGAATCGAACCCGCGACACGGTCGGTTTCCTAGCCACCGCGCAAACCCTGTGCAATGTTCCGTGTGTACTATGTATTTAATGTTCGACAGATGATCTCTGATTAACTCAAAATCAACATTTAAAAGCAAATTCGAAGACAGCAAGAATTCGCTTATAAATCTACAGTATTTATTACTATGAGAAGAACAATTACTTTCCAATTTACACTAATTTCAACCCTGAATCAAACACAGAGGATTCGATATCGTGTAACCAGCGTGACGTTGACGTGGCTTCCGTGTCTTAGATTAATCAGGGTGGGAGATGTGTGAATGTGTAAGACGGAGTCAAATTAATTAATTCTCAGGAATATTGCACCAAAGACAGCACATCAAGTTACTAAATCTCCTACTTCGATATCCGACTTTATAACCTCAGTATAAATATGAAAATCGATTAAAGAATTTTGCCAAAATGGTATATGTGCTGCGTGTATTTGGTGTTGCAATTTAAAGTCAGTTATCGTTACATGTGTACGTTAAGTATTGTGTAAGGAAAAGTAGCGAAAATTCTTTGAAGAAAAACTATCAACCTCATTTTCAAAATCACATCTAAATTTCTATTGAAATTCTATGGAACAAATGGTGTTTCCACTATGTATAAATAACTGTTCGAGTTGTCCATATGTTATATCACTGAAATTCTATGAGAAAAATCCTCTTATCGTAAATTTACTGATAAAAAACCAAAAGTGGTAAATCACACACGAATTAAGGATAGTTACAAGCACTAAAAAGTTTATAATTTCTTTAAACAAAAGAAAAAATAACGCTGGTCTTCATAGCAGCCTCATAGAATTTAATACAATTGCCTAAAAAAAAACAAATGAAAACTGCAAGGACTACTCACGATGTTTCTGGCAGCCATCAACATTCTCAGGCCAGTCGCAGGAGTGGGCGTTTTCATTGTACAGCAGACCACCAATGCAGAGCTGTTCCGTGGCTGTTCCATTCCAGCAGGTCCAGTACCTGGTGCATGAGGTCTCGTGCCCGAAGATACCGTATAACCAGTCGCAGTGCTCCGAACCGATGGGGGGATCTGAATTGAGAAAGATAATTTAGTATTTGGGTAATATTTTAAGTATTTTCTTCGTTGTAAGTGGGAGAGCCATGCTCCGGCAGGAATGGATCGGCTCGACCGGAGTGATAACACGACTTCACTGAAAACTGGCGTGAAACTACCACAGCTTTGTGTTTCGCCGTATGAGTGAGGTTACTAGAGGCTCAATCCTTCCCCTCCCCCAATTCCTAAATCTCCAAAACCCTCTCGTAAGTCTGTTGTTGCGGGTGTCCCTGGGCGGCACTGATTGCTTACCATCAGGTAATACGTCTATAACATAAAAAAGTGGTATCTACTATATTAACTAAACTAAAGATAGTTATTATAAAAACATGGTATCTACTATATTACTGAAATGTAAAAAAGCGCTTGGCAGTCATGAATCCGAAGAGCTGAAGAGCACACACTAGTGTATTCTTAGTTCTGGAAACCAGCTGATGAATATGGCGTTGACTCTTCAACTACTGCCACGCGGTTTCATCTGCTGCTCAACTCCTATTGGTCGTAGGGTGATGTTTTATAGCAATATAGCCTATAGCACTCAGGAACATTGTAACTATCTATCAGTAAAAGGATTTTGGAAATCCGACCAACAGCGGCCCAAAAATTACCCCCTATATACATACTTACAGATTTGAACTCTTTATGATGAGATAAAATTTGTAAGTATGTATATAGGGAGATTTGATGAGATGTCAAAGTTAAACGGTCAGTGGGGACTATCCGCATAAGGATTGTTAATGAAGCCCTTATTCAGTTTGATGTTGGAGAAGGAATAGAATTCCATAGCAGTTTTCTTTTCCAATGGTCCCGCATTTGGCCACTATATCACCTGGTGCTAAACAATGATGCAGCGTACGATGGAGCATGCCTTCTCATAACCGGACTATTCACTCGCGCTTTGAACATACCCTTAGCGCAAAATATAGACAAAAGCAAAGAGATCAAGTTTCCCAAGATTTTCAATATAGAAGGACAAATTAATGTTTTTTTGTTTCTAGAATATACATAGTAAATACGTGAGAATATTAGAAAACATTGGGAACCACTGTGCCCGTTAAGGAGAATAAGAGAGTAAGTGTGGGAGAGGCACGAATGGGTCGGCTCGACCGGAGTGATACCACGGCCTCACAGAAAACCGGCGTGAAATAACCACTGCGTTGTGTTTCGCCGTGTGAGTGAGGTTACCGGAGGCCCAATCCTTCCCCTTCCCCTTCCCCAATCCCTCCTCAATCTCCAAATCCCTAATCCCTAAAAGGTCGGCAACGCACTCGTAACTCCTCCGTTGCGAGTGTCCATAGGCGGCGCTGATTGCTTACCACCAGGTAATCCGTCTGCTCGTTTGCCGACCTATTACATAAAAAAAAGAATAATCTAGAAGGATTATTGAGTGCTTTAATGGCATGTAACTCTACCTACTGGTATTTATCTAATCTCATTGTGTTACACCTACATTATCCTTAAAATGTTACCTCCTACATACATAGGGTAATGTTTTTACAATTCCGTACACCTTATTTGAAATCAGTTTCCTTCTTTTTGGACATTTGAAAAATTCATTGAATTTAATAGCAAATGTTAAGTGAAGCGAAAATAACAAGACATTTCGAAGATACCAGAAAACTATCGTGTTAAATGTTATCTAAGTCTTTTACAGTATCGGTTGGAAAATAAAAATGTCACAGAAATAACAAAAAATATGTCAGTATAATCGGTATCTATTGAACAGAACTATCACTACATAGTATAAAATAAAGACGTCTTCACTGTCCCTATATCCCTACGTACGCTAACATTTTTTAAATAGATAGTTTTTTCTAATAAAGTGATTGAAGGGAAAGGGGTACATGTATAATAACAACCCTGAAATGGTGGAAAAATTTAGTATCAGCATTAACTCGTGCCTAGCCAGGGTGGGTCGCTAGTTCTAAGATAATTCAAGAATAACTTTAACATATATTTTACACACACACTTATATTTATATAAAAATATGTATCAAACAATCCACTTACTGATCTGAACCTTAGGGTACTCGCAGTAGTTGGACCTCCACGGGTAATCACATCCCTCCGTCACGCCTCGGTGCTTGCCAGCGAAGACCAGGCCGTTGGGACAATCGTACTGAATGGACTGCCCATTATCACACTCCCAGTATTTATCACAGTACTTGTCATCAGCAACTACCCTTGATTTTGTTTTGCAGGGGTCTTCCACTTGGGCACATGATGCGAAGGTAACCGCTAGCAGAACTGCAAAGAAGAAAAGGCTGTTAGAATATTTCCGAATATTCAATTTTGGTGCAAGATGGCACTGTTATCAGAACTTGCGTTTGGGGTAAAAATGTGTTGGGCAATCATTCGAAATTTGAAATGAATCGTAGACAAGTTCTATCGCAATGAATAAGCCAGCTGGTACGGAATGGATTTTTGCCACAAAGCGACTTTTTACTTTTTAAACACTTATAAAGCTTAAACAAAATCGCGATCCATCCTTATCCACAATGAACTACGAAGGTCGACCCTGAACTTTTGAAGATTTTTTACACTTTTGAACTTCGGTCCATCGAGTGGAAAGTCAACGAAGCTTGAGAGGGACCTTTTTCGCTGTTTTGACACAATTTCATCACGTCGGGATGTCTTTGTGTACAGTAACAATTCATACCGCCTTATTATAATCTGTGTATCTCAGTGCTAACCCCAATTACAGTGGCATAGCGCCTAAAATCGTATGGCAATAGGGACACAAAGAATTTCAGCGTGGTATATGCATATTTCTAAGTTAGTATATTTCATTCCGAAACCTCTTTTTATTATTATCTTGTTGGGATTTTTAATGCTTTTATGATATTGTGTTATGAGAATTTTAACACACATTTTATTTTGAAGGGTTCTAAGCCAAAGGGATGCTCTTAGAAATATGGCTTTGATTAAGATAATCAAAGGCTTGTTGTGGTCAGAAAGTATTATGTGAAGTATTGGTGGAAAAATAATCTTGTTAATTTTTAATACATATATTGTTGTTATTTAAAGCAGGTTTGTTTCTCTTTATATATGTTTATATTTGTTTCTGGGGTGTATCATTTGTAAAAACTTGTAAAAAGCAAACCTGTGAATTCCAAAAGTGTGTAAGTCAGTTTCTTTTGTTCTTTAAGTAGAGTATCAAGTATCAAGTAGAATTTATGAGTTTTAAAAACTATTGTGTTGGTAGTTTCTTTAGCCGTCAAGCAATGATTCATGGTGGTAGTTTAATTTTATTAAAAAATTCAATTAAGTATAAAGAAAGACAAGATATAACTTCACTTTCCATTGAACATACAATAGAATTGTCCTGTGTAGAGCTGGATGGGCATGTTGTGATATGCGTCTATAGACCTCCAAACTTACAAAACTTAAACGTTTTTAACTCTGTTATGGAACAAGTGTTGCAGAAAACGTGTTCGAACAGTAAATTTACAATAGTATGTGGCGATTTTAATATTGATCTCTTGGAAAACAATTCTAATTGTATTAATTTAGTAAGTCTTTTTAAATCTTTTGATTTGTCTAATGTATTCCTTGAGCCCACCCGAGTAACATCCACCTCGGCTACATGTATAGATAATATATTTTGTAACTGTGATTATTTGCACAAAAATATTGTTAATAGCTTACCATCAGATCACAGTGGGTTAACAATAAACTTAAACAACATCACAACGGTGCCAAAAAAGGAAATAATGTTTAGACATATCACGGATAAAAAAGTTGAGTCATTACATAATAATTTAAAGCAAATATTATGCAGCCCATCACAGGATTATGAAGGTCCAAGTGAGATTTATGCCAACTTACTGGCCATTATTAAAACCCAATTTGATAAATTATTCCCCTTAAAACGTAAAATCATTGAATGTAAATTTGTATTCTGTGACTGGGCTACCCCCGGTATTCGTAGAAGTAGGGGAAAGTTATTTGAACTATATGGTATGAAACCATTTAATACAAGCGAAGCCTTTAGCAAGCATGTGTCCAAATATGCAAAAATATTTAAAATGGTTGTAAGCAAGCAAAATCTCTTTACATTAGCCGTAAGATTAAGAACGCTGAAAATAAAACAAAGGCTACATGGAAAATAATTAACAATGAGACAGGCAGACATAAATTGCATAACACGGAAATTAATTTAAATACCGGAAATGGACATGTTAGTGTAAATCGGGAAGTTGCACAAGAATTTGAATTTTTTTTCAAGAATATCCCCATTGAAACTACAAAGGACTTAGAATCATCTCCGGCACTTTCAAATAGTCTTCTCAAAAGAAATATTAAAGAATGCCGTTCTGATTTCCAATTTCAGTACACAAACCCCCAATCAGTAATAAAGGCGTTTAAAGACATTAAAGTTAAGTCTACAGAGGATCTCTGGGGAATGTCTGTTGCAGTGTGTAGGGCTTTTATAGAAGCTATAGCGCCTCATTTAGCTTTAATTTATAATAGAAGTGTAGATCAGGGAGTTTTTCCAAATTTGATGAAACATAGCAAAGTAGTTCCACTGTTTAAATCTGGCGATGATACCGATCCTAATAATTATAGGCCGGTTTCTATTTTACCGGTGCTTAGTAAGGTGTTTGAAAAGCTGATGCTTTCTCAGATGCTGCGTCACTTTAACATGAATTCCATCTTTCATGATCAACAATATGGGTTCACCAAAGGTCGATGCACAACTGACGCCGGTGTAACTTTAATTAAGCGTGTTTTTGCCTCGTGGGAGGAGTCGCACGACGCTATTGGAATTTTTTGTGACCTGTCCAAGGCTTTTGATTGTGTCGAACACGAGACACTGTTGCTAAAGTTGGAACACTATGGTATTCGAGGGGCTTCACTCAATTTATTAAAATCATACCTCCAGGATAGGCAGCTTAAAGTACAGGTAAACAAAGTTAATTCTCAGGGTGCTAGCATATCTATGGGCGTACCACAGGGCTCGATATTAGGTCCTTTCCTATTTTTGGTCTACATAAATGACTTACCTCATTTATTTCAGCGAGAACCGGGAATGGTATTATTTGCTGATGACACATCGTTGATTTTTAAAATAAATAGACGGACAAATAATTATGACGAAGTAAATAATGCTATTACGAAGGTTCATAACTGGTTTACAGTTAATAATTTAGTTCTAAACGACAAAAAGACAAAGTGTATACGATTCAGTTTACCAAATGTAAAAAGTAACGAATGTGACATATTATTAAACGGCAAGAAATTGGAATTTGTAAAACAGACTACTTTTCTGGGTATAACCATAGATGAAAAACTACAATGGGGGCCCCATATCACATCTCTGGCAGGACGGTTGAGTTCTGCAGCATTTGCTGTCTGGAAGATCCGACAGCTAACAGATGTGGACACTGCAAGACTGGTGTACTTCAGCTACTTTCATAGCATTATGTCGTATGGCATCTTGTTGTGGGGACAGGCTGCTGACATTGAGTCTATATTTGTCTTGCAAAAGCGTGCAATCAGAGCAATTTACAACCTAAGGCTTCGCGAATCTCTTAGAGATAAATTTAAAGAGATCAATATTATGACTGTGCCCGGTCAGTTTATTTATGAAAATATAATGTATGTTAGGAAACACTTAATATTATTTGATAAGGTATCAGACAGACATAATTACCAAACTAGACATAGAGATAGATTGTGTCAGCCATTATTTAGATTGGCAAAGGTACACAAGTCGTTCATGGGATTCAGCGTTAAATGTTATAACAAAATCCCAGGCGAAATACAACAATTAAATGAAAGAAATTTTAAATTATGTATAAAGAAAACTTTGTGTAAAAAAGCATATTACAAACTGAGTGATTATATTGAGGATAAGGATGCTTGGAGACGGGCTGGTCCTGCTCCACAGGATAATATACCTACACGAATATAAATAATGTTCCAGTGGATCTTTGCTTGAACGGAAGTTCTTAGATTTTGTAAATTTGTAACCATGCTATTTTTATTGTTAAACTTGATAAATTTGTAAATGTGAGTGCCCTGTAACCTATTAAAATTAGTTAGACTAGCAGAATGTCGGTCCATATGTCATCTTGGAGTTGTCATGCTCACTCAAAGGTCACATTGGCGGTGGCACGGTCACTGGATCGCTCGATTCCCTATATTATGGTTGAGTTGGGCGATGCTGGTGTACGTGTCATGCTCGTGAACGGGCGCCGTCAATTGGGACTGGTCAGCTCCGGACTGTCTATTGTCCTTAAGGTTATTTTCTTTTTATGTTTCTCTGTATACACGCGTTACACTGTTCTCACATATTCAAACTAACTAAATAATGTATCAAAGAATGTTTATGTGACACTGATTTTAAAAGAGTAACCATGGAGTTTCTTGCTCGTTCTTCTCCATCGGAATCAACACTTTGGAACGAGCGAATAGCTTCACTAAAAGGACTGACCGACAGACTGACACTTTGTATCTTTAAAGTTGTGTTGACGTTCAAAAGTGCCTGTATGGGTCTAATTGAAATAAATAATTTTGACTTTGACTTTGACTTTCATAATTTAAATCCATTTTAGTAATGATACATTTTTATTAATTAGACAGAAGCTTCCTTCAACACCCACTAACTACTACAGCACTAAATTTTCAACAGAAATTAAAATGTTCAAGTCTTTAAAGGTCAAATTAGACTAACGAGATACTGATGACATTTTGAGCGATCTTCATACATTTTTATTGCTGTAATAAATATTGTAAGGGAATAAATATTAATTAAGTGACGGATCACGTAATAGTAAGCAATCGGCACCGACCTAGCACACCCGCAAAACTAAAGGCCTTTAAGGAATATTAGAAATAGGAGATAGGAGAAGAGTAAGAATTGGGTCTCCGGTACCGAACTCACACGGCGTAAGTGATATTTGACGCCCGTTTTCTGTGACGCCGTGGTATCAATTCGGTCGAGCCGCCCCATTCGTTTTTTTATGTGATATGTCGACAAACTACCAAACGGATTACCTGATGGTAAGCAATCAGCGTCGCCTATGGAAACCCGCAACGATGGAGGAGTTACGAGTGCGTTGTCGACCTTTTGGGAATTAAGGATTTGGAGATTTTGGGAAAGGGAACTGTTTGGGGTAGGGGAAGGATTGGGCCTCCAGTAAGCTCACTCACACGGCGAAACACAACTCCTTGGTTATTTCAGCCGGTTTTCTGTGAGGCCGTGGTATCACTCCGGTCGAGCCGAGCCATTCGTGCCGAAGCATAGCTCTCCCACACTTAAACGTGCCGAAGTATGGCGCTAAAAATATTAGCAGCTATCATATTAACAAAGCTAGATATTAATTTATTCACAATAAATTACCCATTTATATGCCATGTAATGCATTATTAGGGTTACATAAGGTTCAATAGGTGGTATGTTGTGAAATTATCATTAAAATAGTTCTTTTGTTCTCACACCCTATTTAGTGTCGTTGGTGGTATGAAAACAGCAATAATTATGAAGCTGCACGTATCGAACCACAGCTGGCATAATTCTCGTGACAACGCATAATTCAGTATTTATTAATAATTCATTCGGTAATATTGTTTCGGCGGTTGATCCGAACGTTGAGCTTGCATTCCTGTATTTGTCTGAAGTGGCTAGATGAGCTGGGTACATACCATCGGCTTCATTTTCATTATTATAGAAATCGATAGAGCGTTTCTTGAGTAAGGTTTTTAGGGCAATCAAGGCAATGTTACCTACTGAAATCAGGTAACTAGTTACTTGAACCGATTTGATTTTAAACTATAGATTTCGGAGTCAAAGATATATAAGTTTTTTTAATAGAATAGTAGGAAAACGAGCAGACTGATTACCGCGCCGCATATGGACACAGAGGAATCACAGGCGCGTTGCGCGTTATTAAGAAGGAATACGCATGTTGCTTGAAGGTTTGAAGGTCGTATAGATTTGGAAATACCGCCGCCGAAATATCGTTCCAAAGTTTTGCTGGGCAGAATAGAAAGTTTCGCGTAAGTATTGCCAGGCATGGAGCAGGAGATGGAAAAGAGACATTTTTTTTTTTTGTTCATTTTAATATTAAGATGAATGGCAATTGGATTTTGTTTTCAACTGTGACCAGCAATAGCAGTAGCTTTTAATGAGGGTACAAACTGAAACATTACCAATGTCACACATCGAAGTACTCATATCTTTCGCTACTCTTGCGCAAGGAGCGCTTTCTCTGCGCCCGCGCATCGCACTGTACACACACACTGACGTAACTCGTGTAACATCGGTCAACTTAGCGAAATAGTAAAAACACGGTCACTCGGGTTCGTTCATTAAATAATATTTACAAATATGCGTCAGGTCATTTGTGTTTTCATATTTGTTGTGTTTTTTTTGTATATTTTCCTAAATAGCTGTGTGACAGGTGAGAGAAATAGGTTGAGAATGTGAATGCGTGCGTGAATTTTTGTTGTGTAATGAAATGTGTGTGTAATGTGTGAGTCTGATTGTTTATTTATATTTTTAGTACCTTTCTTGCTTAACCTGAAGCGATTAAGATGATACGTAAGATCATAGGCTTCATTCTCATTAGTTCTATTCAAAATTAAAGAAATTCGAATAAAAAACCTCACTATTCTCACAGAAAACCGGCGTGAAATAACCACTGCGTTGTGTTTCGCCGTGTGAGTGAGGTTACCGGAGGCCCAATCCTTCCCCTTCCCCAATCCCCCCTCAATCCCTAAATCTCCAAATCCCTAATCTCTTAAAGGTCGGCAACGCACTCGTAACTCCTCCATTGCGAGTGTCCATGGGCGGCGCTGATTGCTTACCATCAGGTAATCCGTCTGCTCGTTTGCCGACCTATTACATATAAAAAAAAATCTACTTCTTTTTTCATAGTAGGCGCATTCTTGCCCCATTCTCTGATATTCTACAAATCCTAATTTTTATTCATAAAAGACGTGTTATGAATTTTTAATTTTGGTGTAGCACGTGTTTTACTTTATATTTATTTGTTTACCGTCAGGTGGTTAAACAATGAAACAATTAATTTAGTTTTGCGAGTAGGCCATAAAACGGCACATTTCTTCTCAAAGTATTCAGATAGGTAATGCCGGCTTTATCTAGTTTTTCCTATCTGACTACTTTGAGAAGAAATGCCGAAACAAACTCAGTGATCAGTTTCTTTTCAAATGCTTATTTGCCGACATATATTAGAAGTTTATAGATATTTAGTATTTACCTCGTATTTTATTTGCAAAGTTCATTAACATCTATACATGTGTTCTAATTTTAATTTGAGTGGACAGACACTCAGAATACGTTCGATTTAATCAAATCAAATTCAAATATATCAATTCGTTCGATAACGGAAACGGACATCAAATAGTGTCTTTGACCTTTGCTCTTGATACGTGACATTTCACTGGCGACGTGCAATATTAAATTATTAATTATTAATCATTAATCATAACCAATATTCATTGATTCGCTGATATTGCATTGGAATATTAAAAATCTTTACATGGAAATTTAAGGCTTCGACACGGAAATACTGTTTCATTTGAATTTGTAACGAAATTGTATGTTTTCTATGTAAATTTAATAATAAGGCTTTATTAGTTAAGTTATGGCTAACAGCTTCTGCCAGTACCGGGTAAAAAGCCTTTGTATTATTCCGGGCTATAACAAATTTCATTTAAATCCGTTCATAAATTATAGTTTTTACGTGAAAGAGCTACAAACATCTTTCCATACTAACAAACATTCGCGATTGTAACTTTAGTGAGACCGATATTAAAATTCTAAAGATGAATAGATTGTTGGAACTATTAGGAAAGAGGTTAGATTTGAAAAACATTTTTGAGTTAGACAATCCATTTATTGAGGAAGGTTGTCGAAATTAAACATTACGATATTTTGATACAGGACAGTAGCTAGTTGATGACAAGAGCTATCTTCATGTTGATTGACTTCAATACGCATAGTTCAGCTTCAGAAACATGAAAACGTGGCTTATTGATGACCTGCAGAATTCTCCGTACATTTATTTCATTAGGTACTAAACCGATAACGATTATCGATAGGTACTCAAATTGCCCTTTCGGACAATGTACTCTGATTCGGTCATTATATAAAACCATATGAATTGTTACTGAGTTATTAAGTCGGTGAAGCTTTGTACCTACACAAAATAAATAACTTCATTAACTAATAAAAACTGCAACGTTTTAGAGAAAAAGGATGCGAGTATTTTAAAAATAATTTAGCTAATCATTATTTTACTTTAGCACTTTACGACCAACCTTTTTTATATTAAAAAACACGTCTTAACTTGTAAAACATAATTTATTGTTGCTTTTACTTTGATGATAGTGTTCGCATGATAAAAGAAAACACTAAAATTATTTCTGAAAGAGAATTTAACTAAAACGCTTCGTTTAATGTTGACCTTTATAAGTTCATCTTCACGTGAAAAATATTAGGTAGATACTTTTTTAATAACAAGAGACTTGCAAAATGTAATTATAGCACGAAGTATTCCTTTTAAGAAGAAAAAAATATTGTTCTTTGTAAATAAAGGTAGCTAAATTTATATAAAATATTGTACGTAATAAAACGGAAAAGATATATATGTAGTATATAGTGAAAATAAATTATCATAGGGAAGATCGTGAAAGACGATGTAACTGACTGAAAAACCGCCTTCTCTTCCGCTATGGGGTACATAATTTTTTTATTAAATAACTTAATTTTTACACTAACTTACCCAGTAGATGTTTTATTATTGTAAAATCGACGATACTCAAACTTCGACATACTAACTTAAGTACCTATCATATTTAAGAGGAATAATGGGGTCTTTTTCTTAAGCTAAACTATTTCATTCTTTATATTTTTGTGGAGGCAATGCTCAAATTTCTTCTTCCGCCCAGGGTGTGGCGTGTGTCAGACTCATACTGACTAAAAACCATCCAGTTCCTTCTTCAGGCCGGGACCGCGATATATGATTGCACTTGCACCCAAATTCTGAAGCTGAAGGATGTCATTCTGACTAACTTAGATGTCAATAACCAATATGGTGGTTAAAAACATATTGAGATTTATGTTCAATTGCTAAGACGTTCAATTCCAACTTCTACGACTTTCTAACACTGAATTAACTGAGAAAAGCTCTACTAGTTTCAAGTCACAACGGGACTCTTATTCATGAGCAGCTTGCGCGACGCAACGACGTCGCAAAGCCATTAAAACTAATCGCAAATAAACATACATAATGTAATTAAAAACTATGTTATAAGTTGATAAAAAACAGCGGTCATTATTAACAAAATAAAAATAAACAATTAATTGACAACAACAGTGCAGTTTGTATAGAATTAAAATGTAAATTAACTTTCTAAAAGCATTTTATTACAATGTTTTTATTTCCCTATTGTATATTTTATGCTACAGTTATGTTCAATGTTCATAACGTAATTAGAATTTTTATTGCAAATATTAGTTAGTACATTAGGGAAGTTATTTTTGTAATGATTGTAACTTTAGTTTTTTGCCATTTAGGTATTAAACAAACATGTTTATTGAAAATAACGACTTACTTCCGCGAATAAACTTAGAAATGCTGTATGTACTATGAAGAAGATGACCTCATAGAAAACCGGCGAAAATCAACCAATGTTGTGCTTTGTCATGTGAGTTTACCGGAGGCTCAATCCTGCCCAAACCGTCTCCCCAATTCCTAGATCGTCAAAAATCCCTTATCCCCAAATGACCAGCAACGCACAAATTGATGGTGGTGATCTGATGTTACAAGCGCACATGGGCAGCGCCGATGGCTACTATCAGGGACCCCGTCTGCTCGTTTGATGATGAATCACATAAGAAAACCAGGATCGTGTCCGAGTTTGCCTTACGTTAAGGCGATCAACGCAATTCTGACGATCAAAGCGCTCTGATTGGCCAGCTCAATTTAATCAACCAATCAGAGAGCTGAACGCGGTAACGTTACGATCGCGTAACGTAAAGTCAACGCATAGGCACTAGAACTGAATACTAATGTAAATAAAGGTGCAATTATAGGCCTTAAAGGTTAAATGGTCATTAGATCTGTTACAAGTGTTTGTAATCGTAGGTAGGTACTAGGTAGGTCAGTGACCGTATTGAGAAATTTGTAAGATGCTGTTTTTACATGGTATGAGTACCTAGGGCCAGTATGTGGGTTGGGCGGATATGGATAATTAGTGTCTGATGTATGTGATAAGCGAATTTGATTAAATATGTTATTTAAAAGATGCTAGATTTTGCCTATGGTTGTACTGTGTTAATAAAATATGGAGATCCGTTTTGAGCCTACCGGTCACTATTCTTGCCTCTGCGAATCGGGTCTCTAATTTCGATATTCGAATAGAATGGC